CTCACTATTTCTGAGTGGCAGCAGCAAACGGTGTTTTAGAGGACCTACATAAACATTAATGATGATACCAGAAAGCATGACGAAAGTATTATGGGCATATACGAAAACACACACCACTGTTTGAGGCATTTCTGTCCACACTTTTGTCGGCGGCACAGCGGTATCAAGTATAGTAAAATTTGCAAAAAAACGAAGTTAGTTAACCCTTCACGAGAACTAGCGCCCGGCTCATTGCTAGCGGTAGTCAACACTCTTATGTTCACCAAAATAGTCCTTCAACCAAGACTTTGTAGTTGAGAGCACCATAACAGTAATTCTGAAGCGTCAATCGTTACTATTTCTGCTAGTGGCGCGAGCATCCAAGAAATAAATATAAGATGGACGACATTTGGTCAGGTCGCGCAGCATCCTACCACTGACTGATCAAGGAGGATTCAATAAGTCGCGGCGCAGCTTTGGGCTAGTTATCCTGCCAGTCAGGTTGCGTAAGCCGCACGAAGGTGGCCAAGTAAGCCAGACTTATTTAAAGCACAACTGAGTCCCGTTGAAACAGATGAGAACATCCTTCTGCTCTCTGAAGTTACTGTACACCATCCCTTGTCTACCACTATTCGCTATTTTTTCCCGTTCTTCTACTTGATAGAGCACACACTACAAGGTAGGTCACAAAAGCGTTTTTACACAAGAAAACAGTAATATATATGGGAAACAAAGAATGTTCCATCTACAAGCCAACCACTTAGACGCTGTAGGAGATAAATCCACTGGTTATCCGTCTATCTATCCGTGAGATAACACTGACTGTTCCGTTCTACATGTTCGTTAGCATATTTGCCAGGCAATCTCCTGAAAAAATGTCCCCCACCTCCATGCTGGTATGCGCCTGGTCGGAACCAAAAGTAAAATACTTTAGGAAGAACAATCTCATGATATCCCGCATTATGAGAGGCTTTGTTCTAAGAGAAGCTTAGAATATCTAGAATAAGTACACCCTTAGGCTTCTGTACCCTGCTAAATTCAAATTTCTCAGTTCGTCATGGTTATTGGTAGTACGATCCATTTCCTAGTAGTGGTAAACGAAAGTGTCCCACTGTTGATAGAAGGTAAAATGTGGGTTCGGCAGGGATACGTGATGCTGAGAAAGCTGCCTTCGAACGTTTGGGAAGCGACAAACCAAGGTTAAAATGCCTTATGCTTCGGGCAAACTAGAGGGGCTTCAGACAAGATTGGAGTATTGGCTATTTGTTTCTGCAGGAATAGGAGAAGAAATAAATCAGGCTGGTTCAACTTCAGTCTGTCAACTAGTTCGAACATCGACTCGTCACCGAACAGTTTCCTCTCCATTAGCTAATTCTCTGCTGAGCCAAGTATTCAGTCTCAATTTTAAGTGCCTACATAGTAATGTGAGGGGACTGCCAGGAAAGTATGCCCAGACTCTGGTACCCACACCTTTATCTGAGTCTCAGAATAGTGATACTGCAAGAAATGTGGTTGACCTCTGCTATGGATAACAGTGAAGTTAGTGAAATTGATATAGTTCAGTTAAGGCCGTATTCAATGTTAGATTATGTGAAGCAGAATATACTTCATAACCATTCTGTACCATGATGACGACAAACGAGTTGGATCACGACCAATCTGCTAGACGTTGATATTTTCCGACTCCAACTCTTAACCTAAGGTTGGGGACTGCTCAAGGCACTTTCCGCCGAAACCTGCTTCACGGTATCCCAACAGCCAGGTTGATAAAGGACTTTGAAGACAACACTAGTTAGCAAAAAGTCAGTATATGTGAATTATTTTCTGACTGGTGACCATTTATATATGTGTAAATCTTGGGTACTGTGGTAGTAAGTAATTCCATATTAGTTTGTTTATTAGAAATATATCACAGAGTGAAACAGTATTATTTACTGGATGATGTTTCGAACAAAATGTATTGTTCATAATCATATCAATTGTATATGAATATGATATGACTATGAACAATAAATTTTGTTCGTAACATTGTCGTCCAGTAAATAATACTGTTTCACTGTGTGATATATCTAATAAACAAACTAATATGGTGACCATTTAGCAGTAGGACATATCCAACGTCGGGTAGCACTACCAACAGACACATCTATCAGTGCATCTAAAGGGTTATAAAAGGACAGAATATGACGAATATGGAAATACCATAACAATCATTTAGGGCCAAGTTAAACGTTAGACACCAATAACTACCAATCAGCGATGACGTCGAATTATCCAATCAGATTCACGAACGCAGTTCAATGTTGTATAGCGCTTGATTCATTTCAATGCGTGCCCTTACAAGGTTACGCTTGCAGTTCGAGGAGGATAGTGTAGTGCAGTATTGCCTAGACTTAGGCTTGCTAAGAAAGGAGAGAAAGTGTTCCTGTGGTGGTGTTATGACTCTAAAAAGCTATTCGAGGTCAACTGATGGATTTGTCCATTGTTGTGGAATATGTTGGAAAAGAGTTAGTATTAGAGAGGGTAAGCTGCTAATTTTAATATTTCGTAGGGACTTTTTTTGCTAGATCACATCTCTCTCTAACCCAAATTTTGTATATCTGCAATTATTGGGTACTGAAGCAGCCATTGAGAGCGGCAGCTGTGCAGACGGAGAACAGCCTCGTCTCAACAGTTCAATGGTACCAGCACTGCAGGGACATAGCCTCATGGAAAATGGACAGGATTACTTCGTTGTTAGGCGGGGACGACGTAGTAGTCCATGTAGACGAAACAGTGTTGATAAAAAAGAAATACAACCGGGGTCGTCAGAGAGCAAACAATATTTGGGTTATCGGTTTATATGACACGTCCCTTCGAAAAGGGTTTGTTGAAAGGATAGCAGACAGGAAGGCGACCACTTTGATCCCTATTGTAACTCGACTTGTCAAAAGGGGATCAATTGTGCACACCGACTAGTTGAAAGGCTATGATTCCCTGTCATCTCTGGGTTACGTTCACCACAGAGCGAACCATTCCAATGATTTCGTCGATCCTTTCACTGGGACTCATACAAATTCGACTGAAGGTTTTTGGGGGAGACTGAAAAACAGGATCCGGGCTATAAATGGATCACAAAAAGATATTATTTTCAGTCATTTGGACGAATACATGTATAGAATGTGGTGTGATTTCTCTATTGACAGTCCAATGTTGAATTGGGAAATGTTTTTGTCTCATGTTAGAGAAAGATACCCATTGTAACGGTTTTATACTTTTTTCTATGCATTTTAGTACAAATATACGCTTCCACTTATCATAAACGGCTCTTTAATGTGATTGGTCAGTTCAAGGTCGTTTTCTGATTGGTAGTTATTGGTGTCGAAAGTTTAACTTTGCCTCATTTGGGATTTTGACAGGCTACTAAGCCACATGCTGAGTATTACTACCATGAAACAAACAAAATCATAATACGTACATTTCACATAAACCCAACAGTGCTTTCTAAAGAATGTGTAAAACTTGGGCACTATGATAGTAAGTAAGTAACTAATATGGAACTTCCTTTTACAGCACTGAAATTAAATCAACTATACCCCCCATGTTGTAGTGAAACTTCGTCATCGGTTTTTAAACGGCAAGCCGAAGCCATTCACAGACCATTGAGTGACACGTTTCCAAAATACATAGATTCAGTGTGGCCTGGGGTTTCATGAGCTATTTTAGCTCCCTTAGTTTAATAATCAGCAGTGAACTGCTGAGAGAAATTAAACGGTGAAATACACCCTTTGTGGATATGTGGCGTCACAGTGTCTTGATTATCTTTCTAATGAAACACCTGGATGCAAATGTTAACTACGCCGCATACATGACTAGGGTAGATGGGATTATATAATCCATGCACAGGGCGCACACACCAGAACTCTTTCTAAAGCTACTTTAACTTATGCATGACCTCGTCTTTGGACGAATCATACAGTCGCTTCACCATCACGAAAATATGAGACACCATCCTCCGGGAAAGAGTGAAGTCAAATTCGACAAATGAGGTTGTGAACTTTCAAAGCAGGTTATTCGAAGAAAGAATACGGAAAAGGAGTCTGTGTACACTTGGCTGCCACTATGTGACCCAGTCACTGCTTACAAAGCCGGAAATGCTACATAGGCAAAGTGGCGTTGACACAAGATTATTACAGACCACTTAAATACAACACATGATAGATTAGTCTTCAGGGAGTAAGGCCCAGAATACACACCAGTTTCTCTTCAGGTTGCTCTTGCCGTCCCCGAAACTACCTGGAAGCGCTCGTAGATATTTTAAAGTAGACTGTGGTTAGTTATGCTGCATTAGACGTGTTGAGTACATCAGACTGCCTTTTCGACCGGAATGAGGTGTGATGCATCTTCATCGAAACACTACAACGAAATCCCACAGTCTTTCTCATCTCACTTTTCTGACCATTCTGCATTTGCATTCGTATACTTATTTTCATCTAAATGGCCATTTTCAGAATTTACATATTCGGCATTACGAATATATTATTAATTATTTCGGAAGGACATTGAGACACCGAGAAGCGTAACGATTAACTATGACCACAGTGAGGATACACCCCCACAGAGACCACGTACTCTAAATCAAGGAAAATGTAACCCTCGACATACTGCAAAAGTTACGACAAACATTCAGATTCAGATTTATTGGTTGAGGATAGAAGGCTTGGAGCCTATGTTAATCCTTTTCTAGTAAATTTCTGTGGTTGTCCAAACCCTTCTTGAACGAACCAGCTGAGGTCGCAGACACCACTTCTTCTGGGAGTCGGTTCCAAGAGTTTATGTCTCGGTGTGAGAACCAGTACTCAACAGCAATATGATTTCTTCTTGGCTTTTGAACTCTCCCGCTATGTCCTCTAAGGTGTTCCGACCTGGTGGGAAGGAAAAGAACTAGGTGGAAAGAAGAACTACAGAGCAGCCCACAAAACGTCGGAATCCAAAAGTGGGCTAACTTAAACTGCCTCGTTAAAAGGAAATTGAAGGATTGAACTGTGCCTCATAGCGGTTATTCAAAGGTGGTGCTACTTGTGTTTGTTGGCATTCTCAACATGAGTGATGATATAATCCTTTTGGATGCTCAGTATGCTTTTATGCTGGGGCATTATCAGCTTGCACTCAAAACACTGCAAAAGTTGAAGGTATCTACTTAACGAATAATTTATATTTAGTAAAGTCGAGTTCTCCTGAGACGGAATTGCTGTCTAATATGCTGACATATCAAGTCTGTATAGCCCAGAAGAAGTACGGAGTCGTGCTGGACGAAATACCAGAAGACACAGATGATGCGGAGCTTAAAATTCTTCGTCTGATGGCTAAATATTGTTCCGGAACTATATCCGAGTATGACCTTATTATCATATATATTTTAAGGCAAATTGCGACGAATGAACTAAATGCGATTGTGGAACGGCAAGTGGATCCAAACCCAAATTTGATCGCGATCGCAGCTACTATGTATATGAATTTAAACGTAAGTTGACTCAGCCTAATAAGCCTGAATTTGTAGATGTTGGAAAGCGCATTGAAGATCTTGAATAATGCAAATGATACATATTGGTAAGTGACTGTCTTACACCTCAAGGACTTAATGTGGGACTATGATTCCTTGGCATTTTTCAACTTAAGGCGTCTTAAAAGAACTACATTGGTGTATCGAAGCGTTTTATGTCCACAAAGTGTATGCTCTTAAGAATTTTATTTCAGTGTGCTGATAGGAAGCGGCTTAAAGTCTCTCAACTTCAGGTGTGTTTTCTTGCCTAGACTATGGGATGAACTGATTTTGCTTGGTTTTTGTATCTTCCTGATATGGCCTTGTAACTGCTTCTACCTTGCGTTCATTCAAATGACTGACTGGTTTCAACATAGAACTTTGCTCGCTAGTGACTTGCTACAGGACAGAGTTTCCTGCACTTCTAGTGAAAACTCGTGGCCAGTAAGATCCATGCAGTCAGGAGTGAAGATGGAGTTCCCACCGAAGACATTGGTTGGTGCTAGTCGAACTCAATTGTGGTAGAGCACACAAAAGTCCTCAAACTACTGTCTAAACTGAAACCAGGTAAATCACCTGGGCCTCATGGACTTCACCCTAAATTATTAATTTCCTTGGCGGATATAATATATATTCCACTCGCGGAGATTTTCCAAATGTCACTGACCCAGGCTAAGCTACCCAGGGACTGGAAGGATGCCATTATAGGCCCTATATTCAAAGAGGGGGACAGGCAATTGGTATCTAACTACAGGCCGGTAAGTCTAACATGCATTATAGCAAAGGTAATGGAAACTATTATAAGGGATCAGCTATTAGCTTATGTTGAAACACATGGCTTACTGGCAGTTGAACAGCATGGATTCCGACCAGGACGATCCTGCTTAACAAACTTACTGTTAGCTCAAAATCGTTGTCAATGGCGCAGATGTATTCAGTCTCTTTAACCTTCATACTCCTTTCTACCATTACTCATTCTGTTCCACTCTTATACTTGTCAAAACTCTATTGATTCTCTTCACTCATTTTCTTGTCTATCTTTGTGTGCTATTTGGAACGTGGCAACTCGAACTGCTGCACTTCGGTGCCAAGTTCTATGTTGAATCCAGACAGACAGACAGACTGTTAGCTAGGGAAGATTGGGTCGAGGCCAGAGATAAAAACCTTCTGTTGGACGTGGTTTTTATTGATCTTAGCAAGGCATTCGACAAAGTATCCCACTTAGGTCTCCTTAGGAAACTTAAAGGTTTCGGACTAGACCAATGCCTATGTGAGTGGTTTAGGGATTACCTAATGGATAGAAGGCAGAAGGTTAGAGTTAACGGTGTACTATCAGGGTGGAAAGCAGTATCCAGTGGAGTGCCCCAGGGAACTGTATTAGGCCCCTTGGTATTCCTATTATACGTTAATGAGCTACCAGGGATTCTTACTTCATCTTCATTGTTATTTGCAGACGACATTAAGATATGGAAAACTGTAAACAATAGCGAGGATAGGTCGGCCCTACAAACTGATCTAGATAAATTAGCTGAGTGGTCGAACCTGTGGAGTTTGGAAATGAATTCTAGGAAAAGCGCAGTAATGCACTTAGGTCAGAAGTCTTATACGTCATACTCCCTAGGGGACACAGAACTACCTGATGTTAACGAACAGAAGGACCTAGGAATCATTGTCAGCAATGATTTGAAAACAACTGCAAACTGCAATGCAGCCGCAGCTAAGGCTTTTCGAATGCTATGGGCACTCCGTAGGGCTTTCAAACGATTAGATGAGGGCATGTTCCAAATACTCTACGCAACCTATGTCAGGTCTCATCTAGAATACTGCGTACAAGCGGCGGGTCCTTGCTTCAAAAAGGAGGCATATATCCTGGAAAGAGTACAGAGAGTAGGAACGAAACTAGTTAGTGGTATCTCACACCTTCCTTATGATAAGAGGATGGAGCATCTAAATCTCTTTCCGTTATCATACCGAAGGAAGAGAGGCGACCTAATTTTGGCTTACCGTATACTTAAGGGTGATTTAGGAACTGACCTTTCTAAACTTTTCTCTCCTTCTAGGATACATTTACGGGGTCACCGCAAAAAGGTGCTCAAACCGAGGACGATTAAAATACGTGCAGAATTTAGATTCTCTCATAGAGTGGTCAACGACTGGAACTCCTTACCTGATTCAGTAGTAACAGCTCCATCGGTGAACGCTTTCAAAGAGAAGTTAGATCTCTGCAGAGATATATTTTGCAAGGATTAACACAGGCCACAAGAGCCTTCTATCCTTATCAACTGAATCTGAATCTGAAACTAAATCACGAATTGGTAGAAGTTAGAATTCATGGACTAGCCATCGAATTGGGTTCCAGTGGCTGAATGGTATACGAGTCAGCTTGCCTTGCAAGCGGAAGGTCCTGGGTTCGAACCGTGGTGGTGGATGTGTACTGTCGATGATTCCCAAACTAGGGTAAAACAGCTGTCCAGTACTCCGTGGCTTTCAATGGTTCTCTAACCGATATCAATCCGTGGTCCAACTCGTATAGAACTTTGCACCGATGTGCAGCAGTTCGAGTTGCCACATGCCATGTAGCAAGAGAAGAAATTGAAAGGAAATGCAAAATAGAGACAGTAAACATAGATATCACGCAAAAAGTATAGTAATATAGAACAATATAGTTTTATTGGATATTATAAGTCATAAGGAGTGGATGCATCCGCGTTAGCCATTGAGAACGATTTTGAACCATATCACGCATTGTCTCCCGTCTTCATTGGTTTTTACCATAGCGAGGACTCCAACCAGTCAGGCAGTCTACACCTTTCTACGTGGCTGGCTTAAACTAACTGTTGTGGATTTCACTGACTTATGAAACCATGTTTTGGTTTGACCACCACTAGCTATTTTCCAGCCTGACCCTATGTCAGCTAACATTACCCCACCCTTCGAGGAAGGCGATGGCTAGGCTAGGCATGCGTAACACATGTCCTAACCATATCAGCCGATGTAACTTCACAGTCTCATCTATTGATTTCCCCTCCTTACCTAGCACTCGACCGATGCCTAACTTCAATATTGCTCACCTTATTATACCGCTTCACACGGGAGATAGAAGGCAGGCACCGTTGATCTAAGACAGCCATCCAAGGTTTTCATGTCTTCCACTTTCAATGGCCAGGTCTCAGCCATAAAGTTTATTCAGATAGGAATTCTATGGATCACAAATGCAGATGCCTCAAAAGTGATATAGTTGCGTTTTATTTTTCAAATCAAGTATGACCCATAGCCTAGTGAATTAAACTTTAAATGACTGTCGCATCATTCTTCTTTGCTTTAATCACACCAAACACTTTACTGCTCAATAATTCACCCCATCCTCCTTTAATGGCTGTAAAATATGTCCATTGAAAGTGGAAGACAAAGAAAGGCTAGCTGCCTTTGATCATAGATATCTGTGTTCTATCTCCCGTTTTAGGGTAAGTAAAATCGAGGTTCGTCGTTGACTGTTAGGTAAGTAAAGAAAATCAGTTGATGAGGCTGTGAAGCTACATCGACTGAGATGGTTAGGACATGCGTTACTCATTCCTATCCCGACAAGCAGTGTTAGCTGACATAGGATTAGGTTACGAAAGAGCCGATGGTCAGCGAATGGAAACACGGAATCAGTCAATGAAATCCGTAACAGTCAGCTTAAGCCAGCCACGTAGGAAAGTGTAGACTTTTTGGCTGGCTGGAGTCGTCGGGACGGTAAGAACCAACGGCTGAAAACAAATGGTGATGTGGCTCAAAATCGTTCTCAATGGTTGGCGCAGATGCATTCACTCCTTGTGACTTATAATACCCAGTGAAACTATATGGTTCTTCTTGCCTGCGTTCCCGTGTGAAGTGGTATAATAAAGTGAGCAATATTGAGGTTAGGAGTCGGTTGAATGCTAGGTAAGGAGGGGAAATCAATCGACGAGGCTGTATAGTTACATCGATTAACTGAGATGGTTAGGACATGTGTTACGTATGCCTAGTCATCGCCTTCATCGACAACGGGCGATGTTAGCTGACATAGGGTCAGACTGGAAAGGAGCTAGCGGTGGTCAAACCACAACATGGCTTCATCAGTCAATGAAATCCATAACAGTTAGTTTTAGCCACGTAGGAAGGTGTAAACTTTCTGGTTAGGGTCCTCGGGACGGTAAACATCAATGAAGGCTGGAAACAATTGGTGACATGGCTCAAAATCGTTCTCAATGGCGCAGATGCATCCACTCCTTGTGACTTATGATTTCAAATGAAACTATTTTGTTCTCCATTATTACTATTCCTTTGTCTCACACCTCTGTTTACTGTCTCTATTATACATTTTTTCTACCTTCTCTTGCTTTGTTTGCTACATGGAGTGTAGCAACTCGAACTGTTGCACTTCTATGCAGTGCTCTGTGTCAGCCAGTCAGTTACAACAATCGTTTTTCTTTCTCTATACATAAAATATCTATGTGTAAGCAAACTTTTTAATGTTATATTTATTAGTGTATTCATACTTTCCATAGATAGCATACCGAATTATCACATATAAACCCCTTTAAATTTTAGCAATGCATTAACTGTTCAGTGTTTACTCCACATGAATCGTTGTGATCTTGCTGGGAAGGCTGTTCGACGTATGCAAACTGCTGATGAGGATTCACTGCCAGCACAACTTGCTTCAGCGTTGTATTATTTGAAGAAGGTAAGTTCTTACTATGTTATGAGATTTTATACTCTATTTGATGCTGTATATATATTTCACTCTGGAAATAATTCTTTTTTTGTTTGTTTATCTCAGGGTGGGGATCAATTACAAGAGGCTCTTCACACATATGAGGAACTCAAAGAAAAACATGGACCCTCCAGCCTACTTCTGAATGGTCAAGCTGCAGCATTAATGGGTATGAATAATTGGGTTGAAGCTGAACCAGTTCTTCAGGAGGCTATTGATATGGTGAGTCGATTTTTCGATCCATTTTCTTCCTTGATTCCAAACAGCTTTATCTTGTATATAAGTGGGACTGAAATGTTTTACAAGACATGTGATTAAATTAAATTAAAGTTATTTGAGACTCCTTCAGTCAGTTTATTACGACTAAGCTTCTCTCTTGCAGCTGGATATGATATTCATTATTGTGATTTTATACTGGCATTTTGCTGATGGTCATTTCTGTGTTATTGCGATTCTTTTAAGAAATTTGAAATTGCTTTAGCACATTATCGGTTTAGAAACTCATATAAAAGTAGGGAAAACCGTGCATATCTATGTCATCAATTGATTATCGTGATGTGGTTATTAGGGTAGAGCAAAAACGGAGATTGCGGACGAAAACCAACACACTGGCTGAAGAAGTAGCCAACGAAGACAACGCATCAAGTGAACATAGAGAAGACGGAGGTGATGAAGATAACCAGCCAATATCAACAACAACAACAACAACCAATTACCATCAACGGAAAAGATTTAATAGAGGTTCCCTCCTTCACCAATCTGGAAAGCATCGTTTCAACTACAGGCCGTTTGAACGGACGATGTCAAAGCCAGTCAAAATCGGAACGCAAGATACGCCATCATCAACCTGAAAACAATTTGGAAATCTTCTGCACTCAACCTCAGCATAAGGAACAAGATTCGCATTCTCAACACCATTGTCAAGTCGGCCCTTCTATACGGATCAGAAACTTGGCCAGTGTGTCACGAAAAGGACTTCCAACAAGTTGCAGACCATAGAATGACATCGCACACAATGCAGTCCATCGCTCGAGTGGAATCCAAATGGAAAGCGACGAGCGGGTCGTCCTAGCATGACATGGAGAAGATCATACATGGAGGAAATGACAGATTATGGTCAATCGTAGATTAAGCTGAAGAGGACAGTACCAAATAGTACAAAATGGAGATGTGTTGTTGAAGCCCTATGTTCCACTCGAAACTCAAGGGAACAGTAATAATAATAGAAACTTAAATTAACAGCTGAAAAGGTAATCGGGATACTGAGAACCAATGGCTAGCAACTGTTGATCATACGGTTTAATATCATTCTTAATGGTGCAGATACATCCACCATCAGACACAACGGGTTAATCTCTGACGAAATCTCAGTAGGAATACAGAGGGCTAGTTTTGCATATGCCAGTTTACACCGTCTCTGGCGTAGACGTGATATCCGGCTATCAACCAACCAACCATCAGTCCGCTCCGTCCTCCCTTATGGCTGTGAGACCTGGTCATTGAGAGTGGAAGACATGAAAAGATAAGCTGTCTTTGGTCATAGGTGCCTGCGTTCTATCTCCCGTGTGAAACGGTATAATAGGGTGAGCAATATCGAGGTTAAGCGTTAAGTTCTAGGTAAGGAGGGGGAATTAAATTCCAATTAAACTGTTTTGTTCTTCATTATTACTATTCCTTTGTGTCATATCCCTGTTTACTGTCTGTATTATGCATTTTTCCTACTTTCTTCTCTTGTTTTGTGTGCTACATGGCGACTTGAACTGCTGCACTTCGGTGCAAAGTTCTACGTCGAAAACAGACAGTCTTTTCGTAATCCAGAAATTCGTCATGGTTTTCTATGTTACTGTGCTTTCTCTGGCTCATTTCTGCTCACCGTAGTTCTTTTCAATTTCTTTTGCTCTAGTTTTTCTACCTTGTGTACTACATGGAGTGTGGCAACTTAAATTGTTGCACTTCTGTGTGAAGTTTTATGCTGAAATTCAGTCATTCTAAAATATGACCGTTTCATTATTGATGAGATTTAATTTTATGGGATATAAAAAGTGGTTGCTGCAAAATCCATTCCTTAGGATGTTTAGAAATAAGTTCAGTAACATAGATACTTATTGTAAAGTGGTCTTGATGGAAACCTTAGAACAGTAAACACAAGAAAAGTGTACGAGTAGTTTCCAGTCTTGATAATAAATTGCCATATTATGAATTCAGTTAATTGAAAGTCGGGCATTGATTATTCCGTACCAGTTTTCTACGTGTCAGGCTTGAGTCACATTCATTTTGTGAGGGTTGGTGGTGGTGGTGGCGGTATCCAGTCGCTGAGGTTGGTATGAAATTCAAATCCGAGACCAGTTGCCTGGCTATACATCGAGTGCTTAAGCTAATGATCTCCGTAGAGTATTGAGAAGACATAAAATTCCTGCTTTTTTGGTCCTGTAATTTTTGTTACTCCTTAGAAACGCTGTCGCGAGACTATCAAAACACGTATTCTCTAAACGAACAATTTATTTAGTGTAACACTCAGTGACAATTAATTGTTGATTTGTGTGGACTTGATTGGTCACTGGATTTCCTCATAAGCTGACATCAGTTAGAGCACCAGTGAAAAACTTGGGAGTACTGGCCACCGAGGGAGAGGGCTCTGAAGTGGTTGTGCCATAGGATAATACTGCATGCTGGTCTCGTCTCACAAAGGGCAGGGATAAGTTTTTGATGTGATTGTGTTCTCTGAGCTGGCTGGCTGGTTTATTTGCGAAGCTTCCATTGCCCCCATACTAGGCAACATCTTCAGCGTATACTTTAATATGAATTGAAGTGAGCTTTTAGATTTCTCCACGAGTTTATTAGTCATCTATTCTGGTGAGTGACCTTGAACGTGATTGGTTGTTTTTGTGTTCTCAAGTTTTCTAGACTACTTGTATTGGTACTGATTGTTTCCTTGACCTGAACTATGACCCTTTGTGTGTGAGGTTTCTTTCTTATCGGTTTATAGATTTTGTCAATCTCGATGTGTCTATTGATTGATGATTCACTGGAATACGAGGCTGGCTTCTAAAAATTCTCCAGCATTCTTGGTGTTTCATTTGTCTGATATTTGAACGTTGGTTGTCCCAGTCGAATTGATGTCCGTGGTTGTCTGTATGTAGTGATATGAGGGAATGGATGTCATGTCTTTTGACGGCTAGCTTATGATCATGGATACGAAGACGAAGGGGATGTCCACTTTGACCAATGTAGTGTTTTTCGCAGCTGTTACAGTTTATTTTGTAGATGATGTTGGTTTTATCTTCTTTCATTGTTGAGTCTTTTGGGTGACATGGAGCCAGCTGAGTGAAGTGATTTTGTTGGTTTGTGTGCGACGTCAATTCCTAAGGGTTTGAAGAGTCTTGCAGGGATAGGTGTGTTCGATTCCCTTGAAAACCAGTGTCCCGTCAATAGGTGTATCACCATTTGAAATTGAAGAGTCCCGAGCTGGGATGAAACAACTGTCTAGTACTCCTAGGTTTCCCGATAGTTGTCTAATGGATGTCAGGTCATGATGAAATCCTGTTACTCAGTGGCAGTGTTATTTACTAATTATGTTTTCATCAGAATTTATTACGCACTGTAACATAGAAACTAATGTTACTGATTATTTGATTTCGCTTGGGATAATATATTTTTAGAATATAGTGGCTTCTTTTTTGAACAGTACTAGCAATCTGAAGTTCTACGTTCATCAGTTAGTGTATAACTGATGCATTGTGGATGTCTGATAAACACGCACATGATAGACAATATATTACCTACCATTGAAGTCAAGAAATGAGAAAGAATAGAATCATAAAGGTTATCAAGTTATGTGATTGAATACATCTCACATGGCTGACTCAACCTAAACTGTCAACAACGATTTCGTGGATTGTTGCGACGTCTTGGTGTTTTATGTGCACCCCGTGATTCTTTTCCAACCTAATCTCGTATATATATATATCAGCTAACATTGCTAGACGAGAAAGACGGTGCGTCGTTAGCATGTAAAATACATGTCGCAGCCATCTCAATCCATGTAACTGCACAACCTCATCTATTCACTTACCCTTACTTGCCTAATCTTTCTTGTCTAACATCAATATTGTATGTGTTAAGTAATCGGATTATAAAGCATGCTTTCTGTTGTCAATTATTTTGCATGAATAATCTCCATCCAGACATTAATGACTAAAAACGTAGTACTGCGAAGAGTCTCTTTCCGGCGGCGATTTCATTCACTTAGTGCTGTACAGTCGCAATTACATATGTACTTATTTTATGTCCTTTATTATGTCCTTGCTATCTTTGATGGTTCTTCTGCTAACTTTCATAATTATTACTATCACGGTTATTGTGTTTATTCATAACCCTATATTTCTAATACAAATTTTATTTGAACACTTTACCGTGGTTCCATTGGCTTTTGTCTATTTTGTAAATTAAAGATTGATCTGTTATTTTTCGTACTTACTACATAACTCCTAACTTCGGTTCTTCTCCACTTGTCTCCATGTATCTACTTCTTTCAAGATCATACATCATGTTAAGGAATACACTTTGTAGAACATGACTCTTAAGAAATACGCAGTGATGACCAAAGATTGAGCCTAGGACATTCAGGTTACTAGTCAAGCTCGGTGTTCATTCAGCCAGTGGGAGATGAGCGATGGATGTGGATCATTAAATTTTATTAACATTTCATCCTTGTCAGCTTTCACATCAAGAATAATAAACGTATCATCAAAATAACGAAAATAAGAATCGGTTTTATCTATTACTTGTTTCAATGAACCATTTTCAAGCTTAGCGAGAAAGAAATCTGCCTAAATTGGACCTAGTGGAGAACCTATGGTAATACCGTCGATTTGAATGCGAAGTGTACATTCATAGTGCATCTTATTTGAGGTAGCTCATTCAGACTAATAACTGGAATTCCGATGTCCAACTGCTTTTATAATATCTGTTTATATATATGAATTCCACAGTCTCCATAACTGGTACATTGGCATTTGCTTCTCATTTACATTGATATCATCAATTCAAAGACTTCTATAGTACTATGATTTACCGCTTGTTTGTGTACCGATTGGAAGAGGTCAACCAGCCTCTTTAGAAGTGTCTATGACTGGATGAAGAGGAGTTCCTGGTTTATGTACTTCTGCGAAACCATACAATCGTGAAGTATTACTTCCAGTAGGTTTAAGATGTTGTTGCCTGCCTCTGAGATTATTCCACTTTTCCTCAGCACCTCAAGCTTGTTCGCTGGCTGCTTTTCTACTGCTTTTCTGTCTAGATCTGTTGAGTTGTTAAGCTTTTTGAATTTCCTGTCATCGGTTAGAAGCGAGTTGATTTTGTCAACGCATTCACATGTATTCATCAGTACAACTGCGGCTACTTTGTCAGCCTTTCTGATTGTAATGTTTTCACTGTTCCTTAAACCTTTGTCAAATTGAATAGGTATTTCAGGTAAAACGCCAACATCTTAGAGTATCGAGATAAATACGGAGGGACAAGCGAAAACAATAGGTATTTCATCATACTGCGATGTGAATAAAAAATTTGAGACCTCGTGATGGTGTGGGTGTGGTGGTCAGGGCATAGGCGTTAGCTTGTGTTAAGAAACCCACCCTAAATAAACGGTATCAGCTTCTGGTGCTTTAGGGGGGGTGGTGCCAGGAGTGGGTGATACCAACATCACTTATCTCGAAGCTACTTTTATTAGGTTAAAAGTACCCAGTGACACAGGTTCGAAACCGAAACGCAATAACATTACCATTATGTATGTGTGTGTATATTAGGTTTCTCCGATGCGAATAAAAATAAGTTAGGTTTATTGTTTTCGAGACATTTCAAAAATGTCATGAGTAATCAAATTGTTACTATGGGGTGGGGTGGGGTAAGATTGGTAAGAGGATGTTATAAGGAGTTAGAGAAAAACAAGCACTCAAATATCAAGTCAGTAGAAGTGAACTTGGCTATCACCATGATATTAGACGTGATTGTACGATTCTCTTTTGTATATATAACTTTGGTTTCTCCAACTGAATGGCTAAAAATTCAGCGATACAAAGGAGATGAAAGTGTGTTGCCTCTAGTAGGTTATTCCCTTACTTTGTAGATTACTTTGAAGTAGGAGGCGTTTGTTGAAATGGAATGACCAGTATTGACGAGATGTTCGATTAACGCACTCCTTATATTAGCCACTATTACGTATTCTTAACCATGCCTGGATATTGTTCTTGAACCCTTTTTGAACAGGAGACGCGTCGAATGACCCGTGTTCTTTTTGATAACACATCACCACTACCCTCTTACCAATCTTCACCCGCACCCCAGCTCTAGTTACAATTTGATCACTTATCACATTTTTGAAATGTCTTGACAACAATTACCCTAACTTATTTTTATTCTCATCGGACAAACCTACTGTACAAACACACACATACACACTAAAATAAGTATATGTGTAATTGCGATTGTACAGCTCTAAGTGAATGAATTCGCCGCGGAAAAGAGACTCTTCGTTGAACACTATGTGTTTTGTTTGCATTAAATTTTTTTTATTCCTTCACGTTCCCAGTGGAACATAGGGCTTCAGGCTAGAAGCTTGAAGTGTCTGTAGCAGTGGTGATTGTTTTTACAGGATGGGGTTGCTAGCCTCATGCCCAACCTTCCCTCTTTACCAGTCTTGCTACTGGCTTAGCGAGGTAAAGGAGTGCGTTTTGCATTAATTCACTATTATATTACCTATATTCACATTTACTTTTTTCTGTATATTTCAGGATGCCAACAATCCGGATACGCTGGTAAACATGATTGTTGTATATCATCACTTGGGAAAGCCTATTGAAGTAAGCGAGAGCTGTTGTGTTCTGTTTTGTTTATTAATACTATTGTTTTTATTATTGTTCCCTGTAGTTCCTAGAGGAACATAGGGCTTCAGCCGCACGTCTCCATTGCTTTCGGTTCGGTTCTCTGTCAACGTTTTCACCTGGCTCCACGTCTGCTCACATGTTTTCGTCTCCTCTTCACATGACCTCCTCTATGTCACCATCGTACTGACGACCAACTCGCCGCTTCCCATTTGGGTTCCGCTTGAGTGACTGCCTGCCGTTTGATGTCACTCACTTGATGGTTTGTTTTCTCAGAGTATGGCCAGCCAATCCACCTCCATTTCTTCCAGCATAATTATGGCACATTTGGTTCCTGCTTGGTTGGTTGGTTCGCTCCCAGATATCCCTGTTGCTAATGTTTTCTGGTTGGCCATCTGATCTTGAATGGTATTGAGCGAAGACAGCTGTTGATGAAGGTCTGTACTTTCTTTATGTGCTCTTCATGACGTGCCAACTCTCTCATCCGTAGTGTACCACTGACTTCACATTAGAGTTGAAAATCTGGATCTTATTTCTTATACTGAGCACTGTTGATCTCCACACAAACTTGAGAGTAATGAAATCTTGCCCTGCTTTCCGATCCTCCCTTGGATATCCTCATCAGATCCGTCCGCCTGTAGTTGAAACGATGCTTCCCAGGTCGGTAGGTAAAGGAGGTTGCTTCTGTCAGATTTCCCCCTTTTATGCTGATTGTTGTCTGTTCTTGTTGCTGTTGCTGTTGGCCAGGAATCTCCATCACCTCTGTTTTCTCTATGTTCACCTGAAGTCTTATCTTCTCTGGATGCTTATTCTATCGCCAACTCGTTGCTTTTCACTTGCATATCTTCCAGTTTGTGAGAAATCGAAAATAGATCATCGGCGAAATCCAGATCCCCCAAGCATTTTGTGTTTATCCATTTTATGTCTGTTTCCTATCTGTCCCGTGTGTGTCACATTATCCAGTCTACCGCAATCAGGAAAATCATTGGAGATAGTAGTCGACCAGCTTTGTCTTACTTCCGTGTTCACTTCTTCGAAGGATTCTGTGAGTTTCACGTTGTGGATTACTTGTCATACAACATTGTCGTACAACTGTTGGATAAGATGTATAATTGTTGGCGGCACCCCTTCGTAGTATGGAAGTAGTTTCCAAATCACCTCTCCATCGACGCTGTCTGCTGAAGGCCTTTTCAAAGTCAATGAAGTTGAGTGAGATATAGGGGTGACTGCCATTCCAAGCTCTGTTCAGTGATGATCCGTAGTGTTACGATTTGATCGATACACGACTTGTTCCTCCTGTTCCACTCGAGGTTTTTCATGCAGGACTTGTTTGATTCTCTCCAGGATGATACGGCTTAGTGTTTTGCTTGGGATGGACAGGGGCATAATGCCGCGCCAGTTCTTGCATTGACTTAAGTCCCCTTTCTTTGGACTTCGGAATAAATAGCTTTTCTTTCAATACTCAGTAGCTTGCTCTCTTTCCACACCTCCTCCGGTAGTGCTGTCACCAAGTCCGCTGATGTCTCTGGGTCCGTTTTCAATGCTTCTGCTGGGATCCCGTCTGGTCCAGCTGCTTTTCCAGTCTTTAGCATCTTTATGGCCTTCAGGATTTCTGTTCTTGTCGGTGGGTTGATGTCCACTGGTGGTACTTCTGCTTCCGCTGTTTGTAATATTGGGAACGTTGTAATTGGCGGTTTTTGTTTTGTATGTTTGTCATGTTATTCAAATCATCCAATGAATCTTCAATTATCTCCCTCTTCTTGTTTTCTTCTTCAAACAGACGATCAACCGACTGATATCTCAATTACGCGATTGTCGTAAGGATCATCCATTCCTTGTGGAATATGCCGAGAAGGTAAATTATTCATTTTTACTAAAAACTAATAATCACTTGTTGTTTATTGTAGGATGATGAATTCACGCGTTGCGCTCAACATTATAGTCCAAGTGTAACTGCGTAAACTGTTTGTGTGTATGTGTGTGCTTGCGTGTGTTTATTTGCCATGATACTTTCATACCGACTTCGTCTTCTTCTTCTTCTTGTGATATAAATTCTACTTGTATTTTAATTTTGGCTAATTTGGTTTGCAAATAAAGTACGTTTCACAATAACACAATCAATCATGAAAGTTTTGTTCACATTTACATATTTGCCCTGCTGTATCGCTAAGATAAAGAGGCTACTGGTGGAATTCTCATTATTTATTATTATTCAGTATGTTTCCGAGAGGTCCTCTCGCGATGTTTAGTTATGAAGGGAATGCTGAGAAAATACATTGCGGTGATGCTGATCAAGGCACTCTATTCGAACTTATGCAGTCAGTCAGGCGAGAGTCTTTAGAGAGTTGTCATCTGAAGTGGTGACGACCAGCGGTGTCTGTTAGGTATGCTCACTGTCCCCATTTCTGTTTTATTTCATCATGGATATTGTATTAATAGACTTAACCCTAACTGACCTGACTTCAACAACTCAGGGATTGTTACCATCAGGGAATAATCTCACTGACTTAGAATATTCAGATGATACAGTCTTTCTAGGTGAAGATGCTGATAAAATGCAGCAACCTGTGGATGTCGCGCATCCGATTCACTCCTGTCAAATGTAAGGGGATGCTACGGGACGACTACATAAACTCCTAGCCTGAAGACAGGCAAGAATGAAGTAGTAGAGCGTGTTGACCACTTCAGTTTATGCCGTCTGTGGCTTAGTAGACGTGATATCCATCAACTCTATCCTCCTTTATAGCTGTGAGCGAGATATGGCCATTGAAATTAGAAGACATGAGAGGCCTGACTAGCTGTCTTTGATTGTAGGCGCCTGTGTTAAGCGGTATAATGGGGTGAACAGTACTGAGGTTGGGCTTCGGTCGAGTGCTACGTAAAGAGGGGAAATCAATCGACGAGGTTGTGTAGTTGCACCGATCGAAACGGTTAGAGCATGTTTTACGCATGCCCAATGTTAGCTGACGTAAAATGGATCAGGTTGGAAAGGAGTTAATGTGGTCAAACCAAAACATGGCTTCACCAGTCAATGAAATTCATTATATTTTAAGACAGCCACGTAAGGAGGTGTAGACTTACTGATTGGGGTCCTCGGGATGGTAAGAACCGATAAAGGCTGGACCATTGGATCGGGTCCCAGTGGCTTAATGGTATACAAGATTGCCTTGTAACCAGAAGGTCCTTGGTTCGAACCCTGGTGGGTGCGTACTGCTGAAGAGTCCCAAACTAGGACGAGACATCTGTCCAGTACTCCCAGGTTTTCCAATGGTTCTCTAACTGATGTCAGCTCATGATGAAATCCTTTGACCAATCAATGAAATCCCTACAAACCAACACTTGAAAAACACTTTCTTCTTTTCAACTATTGGCTACTTCGCTTTCTCGTCCATTGCTTTGCTGTACTTTAGGATGAATCCCTTTGGATACTCGTTTTCCTCTAGGCATTTTTCAACACAGTCTTATTCTTCCCTTACCTTGCTAGGCGAACTTAACTTCCTTCCTGTGTCGTACAATGTCCTTACTAATCCCCGCTTATAGCTTATGGGGCAGAAGCTGTTGTAGTGAAGATACTGTTGTATCCAGGTTTCTTTTCTGTAGATGGACTTCTCGACCGTTCCATCGTTTCTTCTTTTTACATTAGGATCCAGAAAATTGAACTCGTCGTTGTGTTCATAATCCATCGTCAATTTAGTGTTTTGGTGCATCTCATTAAGACGGTCAAATCATAAGGATAGCTGACTCATATCGTTACAAACAACAAACGTATCATAGACATATAAAGTAATACCATCATTCTATTGCACAGGTTCTCATCAGCTGCAAACCACTATCTGAAATTACAATGGTTATAAATAATGTCATTTTATACTTCAGTGTTTCGGGAAATTTGTCAATGGAACCAAATGCATCAAATATATGACATTTAAAGGTTCTTCATCATAGTTCCCTTCGTTTAATTGTTAGCGTTAGGTGGAGGAACATCATAAGTAATAGTGAGTTTAGGAGTAGTGTGTTAGATAAGAAAAGGAAACGTATAAATTAAGTGGCTAGGACATATTTTACGCGTAATGATCTGCCACCTCTTTCGGAGAGCAATAACTAAAATGTGGCATCGACCCATGAAGTCGTCAACTGCTGGTTTATGCTACGTAGCTAGGAGTAGAATTAAGTAGGTGGTCACACATACTGATTCCTTGTTATCTTCCATTTTCTTTAAATGATTAATCTCCGACACATCTTTTCCTTCACATACGTCTTTGTTCAACGTAGTTTAATCAAGGATTTTTCTTTCACGTATGCCTTTTCGAAATATGAGTGCCAAGACTGGTGGATTTATATGTAAAGTTGTACGTACGATTTGTCAATCCGTTATGGTTTCACGACACAGATGATTATACTGCAGGTTGCGTACTTCCTTCAGTCACACTCTCGACCAATTTATTTGATGTAACTGTTCTAACTACTCAATTCGCCAATCAGTAGTGTATTACTACATTTAGCTATTTCTTAGATTTCGAATGGAACACGTAACTCTTCAGCGGTGGAATTCTGTTGCGTTCGGTTCTCTGACATTACTTTTAACTGACTCTATGACTGGTCATAAGCTTTAGCTTTTTAACTGACATAATCTTCACAATGTCTCCCGCAAACGTCAGACTCTTCGCTTTCATTCGACTTCCACCAGTCGGCCTTGGCGTATAGTGTCGCTCATTGGTCAACTCAATGTACGTCCAGCCCATCCAATCTCCATTTTTTTATCCCTTTACGTTCCCAGTGGGACATACGGCTTCAAGCTAAAAGCTTGAAGTTTCGATAGCACTGGTGTTTATTTTTACGGGATGCAGTTGTTAGCCAGGCTCATGCCCAGCCTTCCCTTTTTTCCAGTCTTATTACTGGCTTAGAGAGATAAAGGAGTGCGTCCGTGGCCGGGGATCGAACCCCGAACCACATGCGTGGTTGGCAATCATTCTACTGCTGTGTCACCGACGCACACCCAATCCCCATTGCTTTCGGAATATTTTTTCAGCAATAGACTGTTGGCCGGTTCTCTGCCAAATTTTCTTGTTGCTTATGCTTCCCGGTTGGTTATCTGACCTTCAGTGTGGAGCCAGCAAAAACAGCTGCTGATGAAAGTCTGTGACTGGCTGTTGCGGATGCTTTAGGTGATGTGAGCGCCAAGTCTCTGAAATATGTTGGAGCACTGAATTTACATGAGTGTTTAGAATTCGGATGTTTTTTCTTGTATTGAGTGCTCCAGATCAATACAGTGATTTCAGATTGCTTTTCCTATCTGATCTTGGCTAGGTTTGGAATCCTCATCCATGTCTCCTGTAGTTAAAATGATGTTGTTTTTTTTCCCATTGATTCTGACTGGTTCTAGTTGTTGGGGGGTAATTGGGTATCTTCACCACCTCTTCTTCAGCTGAACTCCCGACTTCTGTTCTTCTTGTGTCAACTTTTTGGTTTCTGCCTGTAGACCTTTGAGTTTGCGCGATACCGGGCGTAAATCACCCAAGGAGTGTAGATCCTCTAAGGTATTTTTCTCAGGTCAGTTTGATGTATGTATGTTTTCTCTATCTTTCCTGTCTATCGCAAGAAGCTGTACACCAACTTCAGAAATATCATCGATGAGAATATGTGGCCTTGTCTTACTCCTATCTGCCCTCCAAAGGATTCACTGAGCGTTCCATCGTGAATCACTTGGAATATGCCATCATTATGTGTATCTATTGGATGAGGTCTTTAAATGTTCGTGGAACTGAACTCCGCCAAATCAATTCGTGGTCGGTGCTGTCAAAGGGTTTCAAAGAGTCAGTGAATTTGATGCAGAGATTTGACTTCCAGTCTATGCCTTGTTCGATGATGATGCGTAGTGTTGTCATGCGATCTCTGCATGAAAAGTGTAAGATCAATTCAGTTCCCATCCTTAAATCAACTCAACCTGTCCCGGATCAGCCTAGCATTGTTGCAACACAATTATCCATGCCCAACGTGTCTATCCCGCCTTGTTTAATTAACTGTGTATGTGTGTTTTTACTTCGATCCTTTTAGTCAGACAGTTGAACTCATGACCCAATCAGAGTATTTTTGTGAACTGTTATTTTGCTGACCCATATCTTACTTTGTATTATTCTGTCGAGTTTGTCTTATTTATTGATTGGTTAAGTAGCCATTTAAATTCTATCTTTGTGGCTATGCTCTGTCTATCTCTTACTTGGGTTGATTCTTCTACTGACTGCTTACCTGAACGGTCGTGTCTGATCCGGCTAGTTCGCAATTTTAGCTTTAACGTTATTTCGCTCTGATAGCGGTACTTTGCTTTCTGTTAAGCGTTGTGCTTTGTACTCTCGAAACCGTTAAGGTTTGTTGTATATATAATTATTGATTTGTTTATTAATAGTACCGTAGAAACAGTGACCGGCTTCTTGTTTGTTCTGCACCGGGATAGCCTTCATCTACGCGTGACTTAATTTCAGGCGATATTGCGCTTACAATGAGTTTATCCTGAATCCATCCAGTTTCGGGTGGACTTTCTTCTGACTGCAGCCTCTTTAACTTCCACCAGCATGATAGTGCTTAACATTTTTGTCATTGTGCATAGGAGACTGATTTTGCGCAATTCCTTGCCTAGGCTTAAGTTGTCCTTTCTTGACAGTTTGACAGGGTAGCTTCACTTCCAACCTGCAGCTGCTTTTTCTCCCTCCCACACTTATTGAAGTAGTGTAGTGAGCATACTGATGCCTACATGGTTAGCTTTCAGTAACTTTATTGCATTCAACATTTTTCCTTTTGTCAAGCGGTTGTTGTTCATGGCAGTTCTGCATCTGATGGTGGCATTTCTGGACGAATTGCAGCCGGTGATCCGTATAAAAGCACTTTGAAGCGATCAGCCAAGCGTATCATCTGTTCTATCCTTTAGATATGATAGAGAAGATTTGAAGCTCAGGTGGATGATTTTGATGTGATTGTGTTCTCTGAGCTAGCTGGATGGTTTATTTGAGAAGCTTTCATCACCCCCTATACTAGGCGACATCTTCAGCGCATA